GGAGAGGATGGACCATCCTACACCATAGAGATCCCAGCACCTGTCTCTTATACACATCTAGATGTGTATAAGAGACAGGGGGGGGGAAGGTGCACGTGTACGTGCACGCGATCGGAAAGGGGGGGAATGAGGTGGGCAGCAATGGGGGAGATGGGGAGATGGCAGCGGAACCGGGGGGGGAAAGAGGGGGGAAAGAGGGGAGCCAGAGGGGGAAGGAGGCGCTGGCGTGGCAGGAAGTTGGCCGTCCACGTGTCGATGGTCCTTCCGTGTCGATGGTCCTTCCACAGGTTCACCTGTGGAAACCTTGTTACGGCTTCTCCTTCCTCCAACGGATAAGGTTCGATGAACCTGTCACAGCCCGGCTGCTACCCGCTGAAGTGGCCACTTTGCCAACACTTCACCGACCATTCAATCTGTACGAGCGATGGGCGAGCCAAGGTACACGTGGCAGCAGGTCGGTGTGGGTAGCCGGTACGATGACCGCAGCATCTGGAGCAGGTGGGGGTTGCCGAGGAGAAAGGCGCTAGCTTGGATGAAGAACGTACCTGGTCACATTGACGGACCAGGTGCAGCTGCAAAAACGAGCTTGGAGATAGCTATCCCTGATGGTGGGATAGCGAGAGAGGGAGGGAGGGAGGGAGCAAAGGTTCGAAACCCGCTCCGATACCTATCTGACGCACGTGCAGACGGCACGTGCGGAGATGGTGAGAGAGAGAGAGAGAGAGGAGATGGACACACACAAGAAGCAGCAGCTGAGTGAAGGTCCAGTCCAGCTCAATGAAAGAACGAACAACTGAATGAACCAACTGACCCAGTCCTGGGCCTAGGCCGAAGTGATATACCGGCCTAGGTCCAGGTACGGGGAAACAACCTGGTACCGGACCAGGGTCAGGCCGACGGCCTGAAACTGGTCCGGTCTCACTGCCGGGCCGTAGGGGTACCGCTACATCAAGGGTCGGGACTCGATTCGAGAACCAAGAATTCCTACATCTTCCCCCCACTCATTTGTGATGTCCTCATTGCGCATTAGTCTGTTGTTAGTTGGAGAGGGAGTAAATAGGTCGGCTAGATGAAAGAGGGAGCAAGATTCGGTAGGTAATTAGTTTGCCAGAGGTCTGCGTTGCCACTTGTACATGCCCCAATAAGCGTACAAGAGTACGGATCCGTACTCGTACGGTACTCGTATGCAAGGGGCCCTGTACGACTTTTTTTTTTCCGGCCCCTTCGGTGGACTCCATGGAGTCCGAAAACCTGAAAGCTGCTCGAGAACACTTATTTATGGGGGCGGTGTGGTGAAAAAAATGCCCTTGAACCGCCCCCGGGCCCTTGCTGTTCTTGGTCTCATAGTCCACTGAATCCAGCCTGGCACTGGGCCATAGGCTGTTTTTTCTTATCAAGTTGCTTATTCCCCACTCGAAGAAATTTCTTTATGGAGGCAGTATGACGAAAAAATGTCCTTGAACAACCCCGGGCCCCCTGCTGCGCTTGGCCTCACAGTCCAATTACTCCAGTCTGGCGCTGGGCCACAGGCTATTTTTTATTATCAAGTTTGCTCATCCCGCCACCCAAGCCTGACATGCTTTCATGTGTATTTATTTTTTAATGAACTTCGTTTGGGCGGAGAGTTGTTGTGGTAGGCCCTCTACCTGCGACTGACGTGCGAGGCAGGTAGAGGGTCTGCCTCGTTAACATTATTTATTGTTGACGTCACAGGATATGTATGCCTTGCACAGGTTGGCATGGCAGACCCTCTACATGTTGCTGACGTGAGAGGCAGGTAAAGGGCCTACCACGTCAGCGTTGTCTGCCTTCTGAAAGATGACATGGCA